AAGGTAGCAAAATCAATGCTAATCGGCGAGAATCTGACAGGAGAGAAAAATGGTCTATGTACTTTATACAAGAGTGAACAAGCAGGGAGGAGGATCAGTGTTGTGGAAGCACCAGGATGGCATGAACACTCAATCCAACAAACACCAGAGAACATAAAAGAAGAAATTATCAGAAGCGTGTTGCTTTGTCCTCCAGGACCTCACACTCTGCTTCTGGTAATACCAGTGAAAACTCTCTCTGAAGAACCTATAGGTGAAATTAATGCAGCGGAGATGCACATGGAGTTACTGTCAGAGCACGCCTGGAAACACACCATCGTGCTGTTTACTTGTGATGAAGGAGTGGAGGAACCAGCAATCAGAAAACACATTCACAGCGCAGAGAAAATCCTGGACAAGTGTGGAGGACGATCACATGTTCTTCAGAGGAGCGCTTGTGAATCGCCAACTCAGATCAGTGAACTCTTTCAGAAGATAGACAGCCTGGTGGAGGAGAACCGTGAGGATTTCTTCATACCACAAGCGTACTATGAACTGATTCAACAGAAGACACAAGAAGTGTTTGGTGCGACTGAGATCAGGCAGAGACGGGGAAGTTTGCAAAAGGATCCTCCAAACTGTGAGTATTATTTCACTAAACCTACAGCTGATCTCAGTTACACACTGATCTATGTTCATTTCTTTTACAGTGAATAAACACAAAGGAGATTCAGAGGAGAAGAAAGAATCTGAAGAGGCTGCCAAACGTTCAGAAGATGCATCAAAAATCACCATGGATTTCACACAGTTTGTACTGATACTGATGGGTGCATTCGGAGCACTTCTGGGATCAGTCGCTGGAGCTGAAAGTGGAGTTAGGGGGTCTTTTATCGGAGTAGTCTTTGGCATCTTTGTAGGGGTTTTAGTCGCAATTTTCGTCATGTACATTTATACTCACATTTATTCAAAGCAGACTACACAAAGTAGGCCTACATCATAAGCAACTGAATCATAAGGATCTGCAAAGTTGATCAGGTGCAAGCTAGTTCAGACATACAGTACAAGTGCAAGCAGAATAGTCCCCCCCCCCTTTTTTTAATACATAATTATTTTTAAGTATACAAGACATTTACTAACGAAACTGCTGTCTGAGATGTTTGAAATGTTAGATGTTCTTGCAGAACTAAATATCAGTATTCATCCTAAACTAGTTAGCCTATGCCTTTTTAATTCTGGCATAAATTTAGGGTCATACCACATTTTGGCAGCTTTATATGCCTTATTGTTTTTAAAGATGCTCATCC